ATTGGCCGTGGCCATCTCCTGTCCTGTGCAAACTGACTGACTGACTGACTGACTGACTGGACCTGACCTTGAAAGGCGAGGTTAACCACAAACTGGACATAAGATGACCGGAGCAACGCGGATCGGTCGGGAGCAACGCTATGATCGACAGCTGAGGTAAAATTTCAGTAAGAGAGACTAAAATATTTCTAGATTGTGGGGAGATCATGGCCAATTTTCCATTGAACAGGCCAAAATTTGTCTCATTCGTGCATCCGCCATTGGGTCAGAAATATTAAAGAATCTAGTTCTCCCCGGTATGATATGTTGAAAATCATCTGAAGTCTTAGGAGTGGGGTCTTTCACCATCGTTGACGATTGTGTAGTCTGCGAAGAGGACCTCTGTAGCAAGTAAGAGTTTTCCGGCTGTATTTTATTTTTCTAGTTTTTTTGTTACGCAAGATTCACTGAACAAGGTAATCATTTCATTGGAAATTTCACTTTTAGCCTCGAGCCCAAGTTGTTACTGAAACTCTTTGTGAGTTGAACGAGTCTGTCGTCGGAAATTATGTTATAGAGGTACCGTTTGGTTTGCATTACGACTATTAAACTAATTTCACCAGGACTTCAATGATCTACTCGAGAATGATCCCCAATTTTTCTTGGGTTTCAGCATAATTATCGTTACCGACGCTCGAGAAGGGTGAGTGTGAATCCTAGTTAGTTGAACCGTTGGGTTAATGACTGAGGCCGAAATGAAACAGCGCACGTAACACCCATGTATATGCATGCAGTCAGACGTCATCGAAACCTGCCATACACGGGTTTACGTCTAGCAGTTATCCGTGAAGCTATTCAAGTTCTTTTGATCTATTTCTTTAATGTATACTATATCCAATGCTCTGTGAAACAGTCACTTTTCATTATTGACCGTTTCGTCCAGTTAATTTAGCGGTCTGTATATATGATATAACGGACTGTACTTTGGACGTTCTACCATAAGCTTGTAATCTAAACATATGCTCACCAGTAATAGTCTCCCCCGTGTAACCAAAGTTCCTGGCATAGTTTTTGAAATAGTTGCCAGGATCTTCGGGGGAACGGTGTACTTCAAAGTTCGTCTTGCTATTTCTTGGGTGGTTTTCTATAACTAAAGGTTTCAGGTATAATCTCTCAAACCAACTTTCTACCTTAACCCGTGCGGCCATGCAAATTGCTTGTGCATCAATTCATCTCACATTCACTATGCTACTATGTAGAAACCGTCGTGCGAAGGCCCCCAGTTTCACCTTGGCTTGGCTTCGATACGACCCTTTTCGTTATGTTTTATTGATTTCTGGCGCACTCCCTAACTATCTTCACATAAACAGTATCTGCGAATTACCATGTAACGAGTCTTCGAAGCAACCAAATCTCAAAGTAACACTATGGTGAACCCGTTCTCACTTCAAATTGGCCACACCCAACGTTCGACTATACAAACGAATGGCCAACAACGAATCTTTACACAGCCCAAAGTCTTCAGTGGTTATGCGCTACTGATTTGGGACCAGGTTATGTAGTCTCAAAGCATCCTCTATAACCTCCCTCGCCACGTTAAACATAAATGGGGATATAAAACAACCTTACTCCACTGGGGACGGCAAAGGGTGATTGGAGCTGGTCACATGCCTTATTCCAACCTAGGATGTGATCATATAGCTGTATGCTGATCGTAAAACTTCTCAAATTATCTAAATTCCGACAAAAGTCCAATTGATCACTCATATATGAACTCAAACACCGCATGGAATTTTGAAAACAGGTCATCGTTGGTCTTTGGAAATCAGTAGTGCTGTGGCAATCGTAGGGTGAAGATTTTTAGGATGGATCCATGATCCAAGCGCAAAACACCCACTTCATGGCGTGTCTGCTCATCACTAATATTCGACAACGTGGTGTCCCAAGCGATGCCACGGAGAGTTCTAGGGCGGTAGCGTGTTCTACACGTGAGACACGAAACTTGTATCCTTGCTTTGATGCCCTGACGACACTTTATGTTGAACGGGTCGAGGATAGTGTAAATCATCACGACAAGACTGCACCTTGACGTGGTGTGATCGCTTGTGCACCTCTGTGACTCAACGAGCTTCATAGGATGCTTTTGTTAAGCTAGGGGATCTTATCTTGCCTACAAGGTCCATGGGTGGAAGTCAGAAGTTCAGTCTCTAGGGGGTGACTGGAATGTACGATTCAGTCTGACAGGGTGGTTTCAAGCGTGTCATCATCACTACTACGGCAACAACAGTTGCGTCACAAATGTTTTTTGAACACAATACCAGTAGTGTGGGACATGAACTTCTCTCCCTCTCCCTCCACCACATTGTTGAACCAGTTCACCTCGAAATCAGATTTTGTCATCTAACTTGACCTCAACCTCTAAACAAACACTAATCGCGCAACTCACTTGTCCACCACCTTGTTCAAATGACTCATTTCAACGCCCACGTGTCTTCGTTTTATGTGATCATATAAATGTGCGTTTACAGCTGAATGAGATCACGCGAAATTGATGGTCAGTATCAATTCTGCCCACATATGTCTTCTTGTGCTGATGAAATGGATAAAGGGTAAAGAATGTTTTACATATTTTTTCTTCTATTGGTTATTTCTGAAATCGCGTTCAGAGAAACCATTTAGGAATTTCCACAAGTCTACTTATGCCATACAACACTGACAAATGCACCGCTAATCACATCCGGTTTTCGCAACGTAGCAGCCTGGAAAATGTCAAAATCAAAGTTTTATTATGGGAATTACGTACAAGCTCATGCTTCTCTCCCCCCCCCCATATGATATTTACACAATTGAACCGTTTCTCGGCGAAAAAATCAATTGTCAGAGTTCCAGGTAGGAGATAACAAATAATGTAGTCTTCAACGAATTTGCGTTTATTTTTAGTTTAGGAATGTGAGGTGTACCAGGGTTTCATCGAGTCTCCGCTTGAAAGATTCAATATTTCGTGCACAAACGACGTAAAATGGAAGGGTGTTCCAAGTACCGCATACTCCGCCTGCAAAAGATTGACGCAGGCATTCCAGTCGACCCTTTGGAATCAGTAACTTGAAATGGTGTCCTCTAAGGTTGTTCGATAACATGAGCAGCGGCCGACCTGGGTGGTTTGGGTTTTACACTAAGTGTTACGTCAAAATCAAGTCTCCCCGAATTCCGCGGTACTGAGCAGAATATAGTCTCAATAATCGTAATCTCTTCTCTTAGGTGAGGTAATGCAATCCCTTGACCATCTTAGTGGTCATCCTTTGTGGACTCTATAGCACCTTACGATCACGTTCAAACCATGGACTCCGAGCTCGGATGGCGTACTCTGTGTACGGTCGAATGTACAATGATAGAAAACGTGGGAACGGTGCTGATTGCAACCGATTAAAGACTTGCCTAAGCAAGAAGACATTCTTCACAGCAGCGGACGAAGCCTTAGCGCAGTTGATCCTAATGGTACCTAAGTCCTTTTCACTTGAAGTATGTGGTAACTGCTGATTCCCGAGGAAATACGAGAATCTTTTGTGGCGTGGGGATAGGACTTTGCACTTGGAAACATGGAATTCAATGTCCTTCTCCTCAGACCACTGATAAGCTGTGTTAAGTGTTTCTTGAAGTGTTGGAGAGCCATCGGGTTCTGTTTCTGTATTCCAGATTTTGGTATCGTCTGCAAACAGTATTGTTTTTGGATCTAACACTCTACTATGGAAACAATCTTGACTGCGAGCAAATCCACCCCCAGTTTCGACACCTGACACTGTGGTGTAGGTTGAGATTGTCCAAACATCCACGTAATCAGTCACTATGACTCTATTGAACATTATGTTACACATTCGCGCAAAAAGATTTACACATGCTCTGCTAATGGGTGATTCCAACTCTCCCAACCTCGGCAAACCTATGACCACCCATCCTTTATTCGAACAGCACTTCATAAAGCTAACTGCCTCACATCCACTGTACAACCACGTGAGAGAGCATACCAGATTTGGAAACTTGCCATCACTATCCATATTAGATTCAATGTTGACAAACGAAGAGTTGATGATAGAATCCGTCATCATTACGACCCCGCTGGGACGCAGTGACCATGCTGTACTGTTGTATAAATACATTTGTTACGCTTCTGTCAAAGTAATTAACCCAAACAACATTCGCACATTCATAAACCATGCAAAGTTGCAGAGCTTGACTCCTTCTATTCAGTGGATATCTCATAGGAAGAGCACAACCTTTAGTGGTACGGTAGGAATTTACCGACAGTTTGCAACAACTACTAGCATCAGTGACGCAGGTAAAAGCTATTAACAAACACAGCAGCCGGAAATCACCTATTTGAAGCCGTACAAAGAAATGGATATTTCTGAGGGACCTCTCGGAGAAAGTAAAAACGACTTTCAAGTGCATGTACCTGGAACAATTATCGACTGCTGAGAAACCACTGCACCAAGTTGGTGCGCGAAGATAAACTAAACCATCAAGAATCTCTAGCACAGAGATTTATTTCAAACCCCAAGCTTTGGTACAAATGTCTTAACTCAACTCGAGAAGTTAAATATGGAGTACCGATGCTCAGTTCTTCTGGAAGAACCACAGCCAATACAATGAAAGCCGCTGAAATGCCTAACAACCAGTATGTCCAATTTTTTGCTGTGTCAATTAATGAAGGGCTGTACCTTCCTCGCTGGATGCATCATATTCCACATCCTTTACTAGCCACCGTTTCATTCACTATCGAAAAGGTTAAAGCAAAGCTATTGGCTTTGAGGAAGAATTCACCGCCAGGTGCAGACAGTATTCACCCCAAAACCTTATCAACTATTCGAGCCACTAGCCTTCCTATTCCAGAGAATGTTCAATCACACTGCAATTCCACCGTCCTGGAAGCCGGGAGTAATTTCACCCATTTACAAAGGCGGTTGCCGTAGCGATCCCGCAAACTACCGCCCTTTAACCCTCCTTCTAGTGTTGAACAACTGCCACACACCTCAAGTGAGAAGGACCTGGGCATCATCATTCAAGGAAACTGAAGCTGCTCACTCACCTACGCCAGTGTCGAATCCAGCTGTAAAGAATGTCGGTTTGCTTAGGTGTGTCTTTGGCTGGTTTGAGTCAGCCCTTTCCCCCGTCTACTATCGGCGTACATTCACCCATTCACAGAGTACGCCATCCAGGCATGGAATCCATGGCTACAATGTGATTGCAGAATGCTGGAAAATCCACAAGGGATGGTCACCAAAATGGTTAGGGGGTTACATCATTATTCGTACGCAGAGAGATTGAAGTCGCTGGGGTTATATTCTAGTCACTACCGGTGCATGATAGGAGATATGATTATGGAATACCAGTAATACAAAACCCTTTCCATCCGTGTCATCCGTTGCTAGTATCATGAACTAACTTTCGTCTTAGAAGACATCGGTTCAAACCAGTGATCTGAAAATGCCGTTTGGAATGCGTTCGTCAGTCGTTTGCTGTCAGAGTGTTCGAGCTGGAACTCTCTCTCACCCTACGTCGTCTTTGCACCAAGTATTGAATCTTTCAAACTAAGACTCGATTAAACAACAACACATCTTACGTTCCAACATAAGTGAAGCTGCCTGCAACATTGGAGGAATCTGGAATCACGTTACATCTTACACGGGGAGTTGTATGCCCTTTAACCTCAACACGAACCTATGGGACGAGAAAGGCATGAGCTTGGAAGTTATTCCCATAATAAATCTTAGATCTTTGGTAGATCATTTATAAATGCGAGGAAACGATGGGGACCGAGTACAGGCTCTTGTGGAACACTACAGATGACGTTGACAGATCCGAATAGGGAGTCGGAAACATAATCACCCGAGAAAGGCACTAACAGACTGGCTGAAATGTTTAAAACGCTAAAAATGCAGTAAACTTTATCTACGTAGACTTCGTGCTTGTAGTACGTCAGTAACAAAGTTGTCAGGAAATCAGAAGGAAAGAACTGTCAAGTGTTTAACTTTGTTCATCATGTAACGCATGCATTAAAACTGAAAATTATTGTTTGCTATCAGGTGAGCACGTTTTTCTTTTGTTTTCGAGCTGTTCAAACAGCTGTCATTAGCCTCAAATGGAAGACAAAGTTTCGGTAAACAGCAGCTTGTTCATATAAAATTTTTTGTTTGCGGCTTCAGATCGTCCATTTCGTCTTCTGCTCGCACTAAAAGTGTACTGTGCAATGTGCACTGAATGTTTGAATGTGCTCGTGTATAATTTGAATTTCAGATTATTAATTCGTCTCAGTCGGCTTCTCCAAGGATACTCTATCCCCATTGTGGTGTGCATCAGTGTGGGTATTATCGGCTACGTGCGTGTCAGTGCCCAGGAACATGTGATCGTGGAATCGCACCCAGATTCCTCTAAGCCGGATGTTCGTTTGGATAATCCACCGGAGGGTTTGGTGTCTCTCGCTAACGAACAGCATCTGGAGACGATGACATCGGAACAATTGTGCCATACACCTTGGCTCATAATTGTGCATCTCTTCGTACAACAGTTCATTAAACAGGTAATACTTCAGTTTTATCATACCCCCTGCCTCCCGCTTATCACACACACACACACACCATTATCTAGTCGGTTGTTTTAGCAGTTTGCACTATCATTTCATATATATATATATATATATGCTTTGACTAGTATGTTCGGTTTTGAAATGCATAACATATCATGTACTGCAAACTTCTTTTGGAGGAAAATGTGAACGCCTTTTTCGGGGTCACTTGAAAACCACGCATGCTGGTATTTGTGAATAGCTAGAGACAACAAAATTATTTAAAATAAAAGAACTGGATAGATTGGGGAGAGTGAGTAAACATAACCATAAACAATGTAATTACACGTTTTCGCTCGTTCCTATCTGGAAATATGTCTGTCGTACTTCATACGCATCCCATTGATCATAGATCACAATCTGTGCAGATCGTGTAATCCATTCAGCAAATCCCTTTAATGATCTAATATCCTTCCTTCAACCTCAGCACTTATGGGGGATCTAACCTCACCTATCGCATATAACAGCCTGTTTAGTAGGGGCCGTTTGCCCATCTCGAAAACCATTGAGGCATGGTATTCTGTTAGATCATACGCCATCCTGACGAAGCTTCCACGTCCAATGTGCTAAATGCACCGAATAACCCAATAGAGCCAGTAACCAAACGTCAGGTGGATTTGTGCGTTATTGATACGCTTTATCTAGGATGGCCTAGAACTAGGTTTTCCAAACTGCTAGACAAGGTAGATATCAGTGGCTCCTAGATTCGTCCACAAACTTGAAGTTAGGTTTCCGGCTCTCCTCATTCAGTAATAAAACTTCCGCAATGGGAGGACGAATACTAGCAAGGAGTAACATCCCCTATCTGTCCTAGTTATAGGTCCTTCTCACCAGTTTACCGTACACAGTGCTCCTTGTATAAACCCAACCATACTGATTCGGTTTTGTATATTTGAGCAATACTATAATATCGGCAACCTGCGGTCATTTCGTGTACGCAATAGTCGTGTCTCTATCACTTTATTTTTAGCTGGTTAAATTATGGAGTAACCTCAACCTTCAGCAACAGCTTGTCATATGAACACCATGGTTCCTTTAAATTAAGTTACCGGCACTTCCTCGTTTGAGTTTCTGCCGGGAAAGATTGAAACCAGATCACAAAACTCTTGATAACATGAAAGATGGCTTTTTACTCTATCGATTTGATTGCAGGACTGTTCATCTATCCAGGAAAGGAATGCTTGCGTTACTTGGTAGGGGAATAGCGTACACAAAGCAAGTGTTTTTAGGTTTCTGTAGCGAAGACAGGCTAGGCAACACTGCTGTTATAATGTTGCTGACGAACGGTTGAAAGCCACAGACTGTTGTGCAGGGATTTCCAACTTTTTGGTCGATTCAAGTATATTTATTCAACCACAAATCTGAGACAGGTGGAGTATCTGTGTTAGCCATGGTTTAAAAAAAGGGGAACACCAAAAAAAAATAAAATTAAGTAGGAGTTTAGCTTTCGGTATTGTCCTACATCCCACGCACTTCCTCACATTATTGTTTGTGGTATTTTCCAACTGTTACTTATCTCGGCAAGCAGCTCGCCAAATAAATCCAATCGTTTGGCGTAAAGCATAATCTAAACGGCGCAATCCATTTAGGTTAATCCTTTGCATGACTGTGCGATCACGATCACATAATACTCGCTGCCTAACATCGACATTACCCGTCCGGTTGCCTCAATCGACTCATGCAGTGCACCGCAAATATCAGTGTTCGAACACCCATAAACTGTGCCCATTCTTATCTCTCAAAGACCACATCTCTGCACCAAACGGAAAGATGCAGTGTACATTTGACATCGAACGGTCAACCGGATATCGCAGCGGCAACACAAATGTTTCAAGTTGGCGAAATAAACATTAACCGCACCTTCTTTATAATTAACGGCACTCAGTACATCGAGAAAGGTAAATTCTCCTCGAATGACAAAACCTGTTTATTTTCTGTAATACCGCTACGTTCAGAGGGAAATGCGGACGAACTAAATCGTCTAACATCATTCTACATTTGTAAGATTCAACAAACACGCCCAACGTAGCTACAGTAACACTCAAAGTATCCAGAACAGCTTGAAACATTCCTGGATTTACACTTCAGGCCAGAAACCTAGCTGCATGGAGAAAATCATCTCAGCAGTTTTCGCACGAAGACAGGACTGTTTGCAAAATCATATCATATATAAAGTTGTGAATAAGAAAAAAACAGAGGAGGGAAAACGGTGACAAACTTGGGTGTGTTAATGAGTGTGAACGCGACTTCGGTAGTTCGCATACGAGGAAAACTATATGAGAGTGAACTTCACCTGCATATCGTTCCAAGAGAGGCCTTGTCAGGATACGGTGCAGTCGAGTCATATGAAGGCTGTCTTAACTTCGNCCCGCCCAGTTTTGACGCTGGTGCCGTTTGCATGCAACAGACAATCGACGGAGTATGATAACAACAAGAGGTTGTTAAGCGATTGTAACCGACTTAATTTTCCAAAAGTTGTCAAAAGAGAATCTACCTCCCACGAACAGATTGTGTTAAGATCTTTGACTATTTACCATAATGGCCTGACGGCCTGAAGAACCAAAACAACGTCTCTGACTTTTCAGTGGGTATATTCTCTGATGATCGTGAAAACGGATGTAATTCTCCAGGGCTAGAATCTGAAGTCCTCAAAAGATTCACCCCAGTTAGCTTTGCTTTGTGTTTCGGGTTTCGTGTGTGTGTGTGTGTGTGTGTGTGAGAGAGAGAGAGAGAAAATATAATACTCACTCAGTACATTTTTGTCAACCTATCTTGCTGAGGGAAAACAAACAGTTTGACGTTCCAGGGGCAATAATTCCGAACTGAATTGCTTATTTCACTGTGCATACAACCCGATATTCTCGATCCTCTTATCTGTCGCAGCACGGTCATTTTCCGCGAAATCACAAAGAAAAGTCAGAACTGAAACAAATGATTCAAAAATGTGAGTTCTTTTTCAGGATCATCCTTTTCATTTTCCCCGCTCTGTCTTTATGATGTTGTATTCTCGTCATGCAGATTTAATGTGGCCCAGAGTCGGAAAGGTTAGGTTTTTCTCATTCGGGCTGACCGCAGTAATCGAATGAATTTGTGTGTATCTGTGTGTGTGTGTCGTTTTACTCATGGCATCACACATCATGCATCGCAACTTGACATCTAAAGCTGCTTAGGTTTAGAGCCCGACTCGTATGGGTCGTATGGGTGTCGTGTATAATAAGGTGGTCGATTGACGTTATTTATCTTTCGGAGTGTCATCAAGGGGATTCTTAGATCTATCCATATTCGGTAAAAGATATCTGCTTCGCAGCGATTTCACATGTGGATCCCATCGATTCAGTATCCCGAGGAATGGTTCTGAAGACGTTGTACATATGATGAGTAGTGCGCTCTTCAGTTAGCCGAATGATAGACCAATGATCCTCGCTGTACCTCTAGGATGCTTACAGTTTCAATTGAAGTTTATAGAAATGTAATTTCAAGACAGTAATTATAT